GATGGTAGCATTTTTGTATTAAAAGATCTTTTAATGTTTTGATAAACGTATTCAATTTTTCTTCATTTTTAATACGAGTATTATTGGATAATTTATTGTTTATTTTTATGGACTTGATGCATGCATTTTTAATCTGGACGTTAGTAAATTTAGTCTGTTTTTGTATCTTAATGTATAATTTGTATTTATATCTTCCCTTTTCGTGTAATAATCTGTGTGTTGTCTGACAAAATTACATGTTTCAAGGAGTTTAGTTTTAGGAATTAAGGTTTACAACTTTCTGTGTCGTCCATGTTCACAATTATTGCATATTATATTAACTTTTTTTTGCATAATTAGTAGTGAGGGAGCATCTGTCCGTGTGGTGACGGATTAAGAATACAGAGTGTCACCACCCCTATTCATCCCGTGGGTGTCGTAAGAGCCGACTAAGGGAAAAAAACAATGCAGGACAACAGCTCTGCAGAGAGAAGGAAAACTTGACACAAACTCTATACCAACCCGTCTGGCCAACGTGGTATAGTAGGCCAAAACCTCCTTTCTAAGGAGAGGCTTATGTCCAGCAGTGGACTATTAAAGGCTGTTGATGATGATGATTGATGAGCATCTGTGCTGTTACCCCATAGGGTGATACCGTAATTCAGCCATGAGGATGCATAGGTATAGTAGGTGACTAGAGCGGTTTTTATATCAGTGGTTTTTTTAACTTCCCGGCGAGCGTAGCAGAATGTTGAAAATTTTGATTTATTTTTTTGTATATGTAATTTCCAATTAATATTGGTATCTATGCTTAAAACTAGTAAGCTGAATTTCTTAATAGAGGTAACAAATTGTTTAACCTCCTTTGATGCGACCGGAGAAAAATCAAAGGGGTTTATATTAGGCCTAGGGAGACGGGCTACGTTATCAATGGTTTGAACTTTGCTTTGATGATCCAATATAGAAGGAGTGGTGAAATGGCACTTGATATCATCTCAAGCAATATTCGTTGGTAATTCTGCATGGCGCTCGCTGCATATACCAAGAGTCCTTAAGAACTTCTAGATATTAGCAGAAGAGGATGTAGAAATGTTATCTAGAATATAACGGCGTTTAGCGTTATGTATCACCTGATTGCACTTGTTTCTAGCAAATTTGTGGGCAAGCCAGTTGTCATTACTTCGAGTTCTTTAAAACGCCGAAAAGCCTGATCCTGGTCCGCATTATACTGCGGATGCTATCAGTCTGTCAACCAAGGTGCGGGAAGATGCTTTAATTTGACATTCCTCCATGGCGCGTTAACATTGTATAGATGCAAACGATTTTCTAGTTAATGTGAGGACTGAAAGAATTTGTTCCACTTTATCGGACTTGACTAGAAAATCTGCAGATTAATACATTACATTAGCAGTAACATATACACCCATCAATACATCCAAAATTTCGTATTGATAACTAGATTAAACACGGTAGGCAGCGTCTTGGCCACATAAGTAGATAGACTGTACAGAGACAAAGCTTTATACAACGAACTTTATACTCGAATCAATTGAATAATACGGTCAACCCGCGGGTGAGGCGTTCCGCAGTTGATGTAGTGAGCGTATATCCATAGTGCTCCAAACAAAGAATACTAACAGCTCGAAGCGAAGCGGTGCTGGTCGGGTGTCGAGTGGCGCTAATAAAAATTTTAAGTCGGTAGGTAATGGTTTTTAAAAGCTAAAAATACGAAATTCAATTTTTGCCATATTTGGATCCTACATTACGCGGCAATACACCATCCGTACAGTCGTACAGCAGTAAATATTATTACTGCATTCAAGAAAATTATATGTATTTTAAATTATAAATTATTCAGTGTTTGTTCTATAGGCGCTCATGTGGGAATGCGCATGTGGGAATGAACCCATAACACTTAGCGTAGTAGGAAGCGGTGAGGTGAACGTTTAAACCACTATGCCAGTCTCTAAATTTTACTAAAATTTGTTAATGCAATTAATATTTAAATACTTAATGGTTTTATATTTAATTTGGTGTTTGTTATCGCCAGACAAAATAAAAATATTAACAGAAACGTGTACTTACGCGTCAAGGTTATTTTGAAGTGTTCGAGGAGTAGGAGTTCATCAAAAACCTCGATTTCTATCTAAGGAACTATAATAATAAGATGATTATTGTTAATATACATATAATTCATTTTAGATATCACTTTTGTACACACAGCGAACAAAATACCTGGCCCTCAATTCTGCTATTTTATGTTAACGCCAAGCCACTGTCATTCCATTGAGACAGGCTATTGAGATGCCATTGACATCGGTCAAAATATCAGTAGTCTACTAACATAAATTCGCAGTGTTAATAGACTGTCGATGCAGTAATATAGATCATCAACGGTGATATCAACAACATTGCAATACCTGGAAAAATAAATATATCATTTCTAACAAATTTAAAATGTACCGTTTACTAAACTGTTACAAAGACATCGACGACATTGGTCTTACATAGTTAGTAGAATAGGAAAAGTGGAGAACTATTCCGACGACATTCCATCGACAGTCTATTGATAAAATATTAAAATAGCAGAATTGAGGCCCTAGTCAGTAGTAAGTAATGTATGTGGCTTTAATGAACGAAATTTAAACGGATTACGCAAAATGGTTTAGACATAATTTTAATATTAATATTCCGTCAAGAACTCGCTATAACCCATCGCTGAGTGTACCATTTGCACTGACGAACTATAGAAAAAAATCTTTGTTATTCGTTCAACTAGAAGCCTCAATAATGTGTGTGAGCAATTTGGAATTGATATTTTTAATGTTAGTGTAACGGGAGCGAGGAGGTGTTTAAGCCTTAAATTCTTCAGGGATGATGGTGAGGGGTCCGAGTAGTTATTGTTATGGGTCCTGTCTATTTTATGTGTATATTATTACGTTCTGTGTAATGTGTAAGTGATCTGTGCCTGTAACTTACATAATACCTCTTGATAATATTCTGTATAGTGTTGTGCACTGTAAACTATCTCTGATTTTTATACGTGAGGATTTGTAATTGGCTATCTGTTTTCTTGACTGTTTTTATTCTGATCATCATAGCTGTAAATCCTCCATAGTTTGTAATAAGTAAATAAATTAATAAATAATAAAATTAGCAAATGTATCAGAGTATAAACGAGTTATTTAACATTGACACACATGGGAACGTCTAATAATATGCTTAGTGGAATAACACACACATAAAATGCTGACAGGTAACTCGTTTGATATGTCTACATTCAATTTCTCAACCTATTACTTTAAATTATTGTAATCTACTCATAAATTGGCTGTTTACAACAATCTAAGACACTTAATGTCCATCTAGGACAAGCCTGTATCTTAGACGTTAGTTTCTTCCAAAGAATAAAGATCATCAATAGCTTATAATAGTCCACTGCTGGACATAGGCCTCTCCTTAGAAAGGAGCTTTTGGCCTACTATATCAAGTTCAATCAAGTTTCAAGTTTTCCTTCTCTTTGCAGTGCTGTTGTCCTGCGTAGTTTGCTCCATTGTAATAACATCTCCTTTGTACATCATGTGATAACCGAAATATGTATATACTCTTAAACTTGATTTAAAAACACAATAATATATAAATATAGCTTAATATTCGCAGTGTGCGTAGACATACTTTTCATATATTAGTACTTACAACGAATATAATAAAGGAATGTGAAATAATTAACGTTTAAGTGGCAAAATATAGTGTTTGTACAGATGGACTGGTAAAATAAATCAGTATAATACGTTTTATGCCAACCACAGCTTACGTACTGTATAACAACATGGGGTGGTACACACAAATCAAAGCCTGTAGCTTAGATAGAGAACAAGAAAATCGATCGCAAGAAAAATTTATGAATGTCTTATGCCACGAGTACAACCTTACAGAGAAGCTAAATATTTTTGAAGTCTGATTTGGATCATAACATACACACACACACACAAATACGCATCTAGTCACACTCACATAAAACCATCACTTACTTACATGAAGTATGAACAACTAATGATCTATGGAATTGCTAGCAGAGCCATACATGTCACTGAGACTGCCAAACCGCTGTCCGAGTTTCAGACCTGATTCGAGTTTTTGAACCGAATACTCAGAAACCCAGCCAAGAAGAACTCATCCATAGAACCGTGGAATATCACCCATGAACGTTTCTACACAAAAAACAGGTTATAATGGTTATAAAAATAATTGACATACATTTCATTTAAAGTATTTACAGTTTTCATTAATATCAGTCTTCCTTCTCGGGACTTACGACATTGTATAGTCTATCTGCCTCCTCATTATCAACAATAGTCCACTTCAGGACATAGGCCTCTCCTTAGAAAGGAGGTTTTGACCTACTATACCACGCTAGTCAGTCGGGTTGGTAAAAGGTTTATGTCTAGTTTTTCTAGGGCTGTTGTCCTGTATAGTTATCTCTTAGTCGCCTCTTACGACACCCACGGGATTAATAGGGGTGTTGACACTCCATGTTCTTAATCCATAACCACACGGATGATCCTCGGTTCGTCTATTTCAATTCGGGATTTCTAATTTCCACATCTTTCAAACACATTGTCCCTTGTATTTCATTCTAAAATACTAACATTTAAACAGATGTTGGTTTCATATAAAATACGATATTTACTTCTGTGCGTGATCCCGTAATTCAATTTAGTGGTATATCTCTTAGTGAAAGCCTCCACAGAATCAGTCACGCTTTAGTTTAGTGCCGAACGTCGCGCGCTACGCACGTAGCAGTCGCGTAGAGGTGCAGTGCTACGATCGAGAGTCTAACTTACGAACTCAAACTTGCAACTCGAAGAATGAATGTTATACAGAAATAATATTGACTAAAATGTAAACTTGGGTATGTCTAAGTGAATATAGTGTTAAAAGATGTAATTACGAATAAAATATATATGAAAAAACAATAACAATTGTAACTTACAACAAAAAAAATTACAAACTACATCAAGATGGTAGACTCCTCAGATTTTCTTCGTCCTAACGAGACGACTCTTCAGTTATACCGACGATGTACCAATACCACATACTTCGACTGTACTGAAGAGGAACTGTTATGGTTGGTGATGGGTCCACGGAGGCTGCCTCTGCCGAAGATCATCCCCATATCTGTGTTGCTCCTGGTGATATTTATGACTGGAATGGGGGGTAACGTGTCAGTTTGCGTGGTGATCGTGAAGCATCCCGCCATGCACACGGCTACTAATTACTACCTGTTCAGTTTGGCCCTCAGTGATCTGCTGCTATTATTATTCGGTAAGTTATATTATATGAGAAAAAAAAACACAATTTTACGTATTTATTCGCTTTATTTGTAGCTGTTAACATAACATCAAAGGCAATTTTAAGTTACTTCTAATCATCGTATAGAAATGGAAAGTAGTTTGGATGACAATACTATGGATTTAGAATACAGAGTGTCACCACCCTTATTCATCCTGTGGGTGTCGTAAGAGGCGACTATGGGAGCGAAATACGCAGGACAACAGCACTGCGGAGAGAAGGAAACTTGACACAAACCCTATAACAACCCGTCTGGCCAGCGTGGAATAGCAGGCCAAAACCTTCTTTCTAAGGAGAGGCCTATGTCCAGCAGTTGACTGTTAAAGGCTGTTTATGTGATGTGATGTGAAGTTGTTCTGATGATGATGCCAGGAAATAAAAAGTGATACTCTTGAGTAGTTAACAATCTTCTCTGGTTTTGGCTTATGTTATTTTTATTTACCTTGTAATGATACCCTGCTGATGATGCAGGAGGATAGTAGTAGTCCTTTTTCTTCTTATTTCAGTTCGTAAAGTGTTTCATAATCATCAGCCTATCGCAGTCCACTGCTAGACATATTCCTCTCCCAATGCACGCCACTTCGATTGGTTTCGCGTTCGTAAAGTTTTTAAGTTTTACTAAATTATAACTATTTTATGTTTGATGTGGAGAAAAAATATGTATTACGTCAAATAAATGTTACTTAATAATATAATTAATAAATCTGGAGCCTTATTGTAGCTGTACACAATATTGTGTTTATTAATAAGCTCTATTGACGATTCAGTAATAATTGAAACAAATAAACAAAGAATTACTTATTTTATTACATTTTACTTATTTAACATCTTCATGCACTTATCTACATCGGCGGACTTAATGCCCTAAGCATTCTCTACCAACCAACCTTTAGGTGGTGTAGAAATCTTGTAGTATATTGTGTATTATGAGTATTTACATTCCATTATATAAAATATTATTTATTTATTCTTTAAATCTTCGTGCACATCGATACTTGTTTAAATGTAAAAGTAAGTTTGTTACGATCTAATGTCTAAACCAATTTTAAAATTATTTCACCAATGGAAAGCTACATTATCAGCGAGTAACATAGGCTTCTTTTTACCGGGATAATGGGGCGGAGACACGGGCAATATAATACCTAGGTATTTTTTGCCACTTAACCTTATTTACTGTATTTCCAACTCCTCCAATTTTCATCTGATAAATTTCGTTGCGGGTTCCAAGACAGTTTAATTTCTTCCTGGGACTTCCCGAGTGTCATAACTCGGTGTGTTCGTGGGTCACTGCTGTGGATCCTGGTGTACAGGAGTTACAGTGGTGGGCGTGTGGGTGGGATTAGTCCCGGTTAACCTTAGGGTGATGCAGAAATAAAATGTGTTGGGTAACAGATGAGAAGACAAGACCAATTGTGAAAAGATCTAGGCTAAAAAATATTATAATACTTGCTTTAATATTGTTAATGAAAATATTATTTTGAGTTTACAGGCAGGTTAGAGATATTAAGTTACCTGATAACAGTCAGGTCGAGTTATACGTTTTTTTTTCAAAACGACAACTTCAACACTAGGAACATTTGCTTTGTCGAGGGGCTTTACAAACATACATGAAATGGACACACAGAATAACAATATGTGGATAAATAAAGATAAGCAAAATACGGAATCATCCCTTCGGAGATATAAGCGGGAGTATATATTATTAGTTTTATCAGAAGTCCTGAAGAGTGAGAGAGAGTTATAAAACTGAGGCTGAGAGAGTTATAAAGGCTGACCATAGCCCCACTGCTATAGCAATTAGGCTTATCAATGAGTTCCTTCAGTATAGTCCAGATGCAGATATATTTTTCGACTCCCAAAGCATAATTTTAAAACATATTTATACATATCTAAATTTTAAAGAGTAATTTTATAGTTCCTAAGTTGATGTAAGGTTGTTTTTGTTTACAAATTTTATGTTGTTTCTTTTTGATGGTCTGAGTTTTACAATTGTAATAGTATTTAGTTTATTTTTGTTAAAATTAGCATAGATATAAGCGATTTGGTGTATACTGTGATGCTTATATTTTATTAATAAAGAATTGAATTGAAAACGGGGCCACAATGACCTTAAAGAGAAAAGAATATACGAGTAGAAATAAGAGTGTGGAATGGTTATTGCTGGACTGTGGTGGAGTTATGTTTGTCTGAGCCTCACGCAAGGACTTCAGTAATACGACTCATGCAGACTCTATTTCTATCTCTAAGTAATATCATTTCTTAAGTGGCAATGTAGTGTGGGCTAGTGTGTTTTTTTCTTCAATTTTTTTTATTTACTTCACTTTCAATTGTATTTAATCTTTTTTCTTTATTGCTTTTATCTTTAAGTACTTAATAACTGATATACTGGAGCGCACATCAAAATAATGTTGTAATTTATTTAATGATGCGACTGTTTCTAGTTGTAATTGAAAAAATGGCCGTGAGCTTGTTTGCCCTTTCTTATCACAGGGCTCCTTAAAAACGGGCGGTTGTATACACATACGAGTATAATGGATTAACTTTATTTTTCTAAACATTTGACAAAAAGTCTATGACTTTAGAGTGATAAGATTCTGTGGCGGATTTTGAGCATTGAGTGAATGGTCTGTTCATGGATGTGGAAAAATTGCAAATTTTATAAATTGTATCCCCCCCGGTATTTTATCGACATTCATATTGGTATATTACATAAAAACCCGGAGACAACTTCAAATTACCTAACCACAATTTTGACAGTATTTTAATGACATTGAATTTTTGACTGCATGTGTTTGTTTTTATATTTATCTATTTGTATTGCATTATATAAATTAAATTCTTTAGAAACTTAAGTTAACATGTAAGCATTTCAAACACAATTTTTATTGTTACTGAATAAAAAAAAATAAAAAAAAATAAGAAGATTTTAAACAATATATTTTTGATGAAATAAGGATATTTTGAGTTTGAATAAAATTCAATAGTGTACTGTGGATTCAAATTAACATTATTTTAGTCATTTTAATTTTTTCTGTAGCTTTGTTTTCCCATAAATCAGTCGGCTCAACTGAGGTTATGAGCGTCTCAGAAAATCGGTGTTCAGCTATTCATTCGTAGCTTTTCACTGAGTGCAGTTACCGGCACCGAACCCCACCTTTCAATCTTTGAAGGAATGTAACGCACGAGTGACTCTTGAGTCATAGGTGACCATAGGTGATCATAGTCAATTACCATAAAAAATGTTTATTTGTTCTAGATTCCATTATAGGGTCGAGGCACACAGCGGACGGAGCGACACAGCAACACAGTCTGAGCTAGTTATAATATGTATTCTAGCTAGAGCATATTAAAGAAGATTAAGTCACTAGTGGACATAAAAGATGTCATACAAAATACTCACACTGCCCCGCCCTCTGTCTGTCTCAACCTTTATAGTCTTCAGAGTAAACTCTTTGAAATGAACTGATTTATATTAACAGCGATTAATGTGGCTTATATATTTTTCCGTTATGTTAACAATCCTTCTGATCTTTATGTCCTTAACCATTCTACTAAAGCTAAAGAAAATATTTTGGACAACGTGTTGTATTATACGTAAAACTTTTTTTTTATCCTGATTAAATATTTAGTTATACCTATAAAACCTTAAAGTCAGATTTAAACATCAATTGCCTCCCTATTTAGTAGAGACCTGACCATTATAATAATACAGAGTACATTCGGCAAACGATTAAGTTTATGTAAAAAAATAAAATTTAAAACGTAAAAGGATTTTCTTAGATATTTAATGAGGCGTTTTTTTTTAGATAGAGCACAAATTCAATTCTAAACATCTGTTGCCGACCTAATTTGGATTGACCGTTCATGTTTAAGTGAAATACCTTTATCACTTATGACTTATTCCATCAACAGCCTTTAATAGTCCACTGCTGGACATTGGCCTCTCCTTAGAAAGTAGGCTTTGGCCTACTATGAGTATGACTTGACTATGACTTGACTATGACTTGACTATGACTTGACTATGACTTGACTATGACTTGACTATGACTTGACTATGACTTGACTATGACTTGACTATGACTTGACTATGACTTGACTATGACTTGACTATGACTTGACTATGACTTGACTATGACTTGACTATGACTTGACTATGACTATCAGTTGTCTAGTAGCCATAGTACAAGCTCTGCTTAGTTTGGGACTAGATGGCGCTGTGTGAATGTGGTAGAATATTATATTATTATATTTAATTCGAAAATAGTTTTTTATTCACTTAAGACAATGAGTTTTTTTTTATGAGGGCAGACGGGTCACCCGAATCGCCGCCCATGAACGTCTGCAACTCAGGAGTCACAAACGTGTGTGTTATATGGGATAGCTGGCTAGTTTTGGGCTAGACGGAGCCTCTTTTCAAGGGCTGTACACACCTGAGTAAAAGTATCAATCATCAACATCAACAGCTTTTAATAGTTCACTGCTCGACACAGGCCTCTCCTTAACAAGGAGGTTTTGGCCTACTATACCACGCTAGCCAGACGGGTTGGTATAGGGTTTGTATCAAGTTTTCCTTCTCTTTGCAATGCTGTTGTCCTGCGTAATTTGCTCCCTTAGTCGGCTCTTACAACAACCATGGGATGAATAGGGGAGGTGACACTCCGTATTACAAAACCTATCTTTACTAATATTGTAAATGTAAAAGTTAAGATAGAGGTGTGTTTCTTAATCACAGAACGGCCGAGCCGAATAAGATGAAATTTAGTATAGAGAAAGATTATATTCTGGAACAAGACATATGCTATTATTAACTGCGTATGAAAACCCGGGGCTGGGCAAAGGGGAAAAATTTTAGGAAAAACGTTTAGTAATTAATGAATAGATTTTGGTGGTATTATATCAGTGATGACTTATTTCTGAGTTTTACAATTGTAATAGTATTTAGTTTATTTTTGTTAAAATTAGCATAGATATAAAAGATTTGGTGTATACTGTGATGCTTATATTTTATTAATAAAGAATTGAATTGAAAACGGGGCCACAATGACCTTAAAGGAAAAAGTAATATACGAGTAGAAATAAGAGTGTGGAATGGTTATTGCTGGACTGTGGTGGAGTTATGTTTGTCTGAGCCTCACGCAAGGACTTCAGTAATACGACTCATGCAGACTCTATTTCTATCTCTAAGTAATATCATTTCTTAAGTGGCAATGTAGTGTGGGCTAGGGTGTTCTTTTTTCAATTGTTTTTATTTACTTCACTTTCAATTGTATTTAATCTTTTTTCTTTATTGCTTTTATCTTTAAGTACTTAATAACTGATATACTGGAGCGCACATCAAAATAATGTTGTGATTTATTTAATGATGCGACTGTATCTAGTTGTAATTGAAAAAATGGCCGTGAGCTTGTTTGCCCTTTCTTATCACAGGGCTCCTTAAAAACGGGCGGTTGTAGATCGTCACAGACATATAATGGATTAACTTTATTTTGCTAAACATTTGACAAAAAGTCTTACTTAGACTAGACTTTAGAGTGATAAGAAGATTTTAAACAATTTTTTAATAATTTTGGTGAAATAAGGATATTTTGAGTTTGAATAAAATTCAATAGTGTACTGTGGATTCAAATTAACATTATTTTAGTCATTTTATTTTTTTCTGTAGCTATGTTTTCGCATAAATCAGTCGACTCAACTGAGGTCATGAGCCTCTCAGAAAATCGGTGTTCAGCTATTCATTCGTTGCTTCTCACTGAGTGCAGTTACCGGAACCGAACCCCACCTTTCAAGCTTTGAAGGAGTGTAACGTACGAGTGACTCTTGAGGCGTAGGTGACCATAGGTGATCATAGTCAATTACCATAAAAAATGATTATTTGTTCTAGATTCCATTATAGGGTCGAGGCACACAGCGGACGGAGCGACACAGCAACACAGTCTGAGCTAGTTATAATATGTATTCTAGCTAGAGCATATTATAGAAGATTAAACCACTAGTGGACATAAAAGATGTCATACAAAATACTCACACCGCCCCGCCTTCTGTCTGTCTCAACCTTTATAGTCTTCAGAGTAAACTCTTTGAAATGAATTGATTTATATTAACAGCGATTAATGTGGCTTATATATTTTTCCGTTATGTTAACAATCCTTCTGATCTTTATGTCATTAACCATTCTACTAAAGCTAAAGAAAATATTTTGGACAACGTGTTGTATTATACGTAAAACTTTTTTTTTATCCTGATTAAATATTTAGTTATACCTATAAAACCTTAAAGTCAGATTTAAACATCAATTGCCTCCCTATTTAGTAGAGACCTGACCATTATAAACTGACTGATAAAGTTTATGTAAAAAAATAAAATTTAAAACGTAAAAGGATTTTCTAAGATCTTTGATGAGGCGTTTTTTTTAGATAGAGCACAAATTCAATTCTAAACATCTGTTGCCGACCTAATTTGGATTTACCGTTCATGTTTAAGTGAAATACCCTTATGACTTATTTCATCAACACCCTTTAGTAGTCCACTGCTGGACTGGAGTAGGTTTTGGGCTACTATGACTATGACTTGACTGTGACTTGACTTGACTGTCACTTGACTATGACTTGACTATGACTTGACTGTGACTTGACTGTGACTTGACTGTGACTGGACTGTGGTTTGACCGTGACTTGACTATGACTTGACTATGACTTGACTGTGACTTGACTGTGACTTGACTGTGACTTGACTGTGGTTTGACTGTGACTTGACTATGACTTGACCATGACTTGACTATGACTTGACTATGACTTGACCATGACTTGACTATGACTTGACTGTGACTTGACTGTGACTTGACTGTGACTTGACTGTGGTTTGACTGTGACTTGACTATGACTTGACCATGACTTGACTATGACTTGACACAACCTGTCTTGGCGAGAAGACAAGCAACGGATGGGAAGGTAGAAGGGACTTACCGGTTGGTGACGCTGCTGGTGGGCTCGGGAGATGCGTCGTCGTGACCTTGTGTGACCTCGTGGGTGGTGGTGTATAAATTGGATTATTGTTCTTGCACTAATTGTTTTTTCACTGTCTACGGCATGGCAAGTAAAGAGGTGATCAGCACTTAATTAACACTCCCGTTCATTAATTTGGGTAGAGAATAATTTTCACATTTACTATATTAACGTGGGCGGAAGTTCGGTTAACCGCTCGAAAGTTAAGAGAGGAAGAGGAAGTTCAGTTGACAGTTCGCGCCAAAGTCACTACGTTGACATTTAGCGTTTCGTTTCGTTCTGAAATCGTCGCGCTCCCAGCGCGTACAAAACCTATCTTTACTAATATTGTAAATGTAAAAGTTAAGATAGAGGTGTGTTTCTTAATCACAGAACGGCCGAGCCGAATAAGATGAAATTTAGTATAGAGAAAGATTATATTCTGGAACAAGACATATGCTATTATTAACTGCGTATGAAGCCGGAGAAACTGGGCAAAGGAAAATTATTCAGGAAATCTGTATTCAACAATACAAATCAAAGTTTTTCTGACGTCGTTGGTGATGATACGAACCACTGCGCCATCCGTGCAGTCAACAACAGTTTACAAAAGGTTGACCATATTCGCGACTTGGGTGTCACCATTGACGCAAAACTACATCTAGATCTACACATAATCAATATTATTAGTAAATCTGTTTAAATGTATGGCTTTGTAATGAGATCTTCCAAAGATTTGAAGCGCCCGTCTACTTTACTACTCCCATATAATACTCTTATAAGAACTCAACTATTAGACTTTGCGGTTCCAATTTGGGATCCTATTTATGACAAGTATGTAACCCGACTTGAAATGGTTCAAAAGAAGTTTTTGAGAACGAATTCCATCACTCTAAATTATCTTTCTTGTATAATTTATTAAGCCTGGAGTCTAGACGCTAAATTCTGATGAGTATGACGTTACATGGCATATGTTGTAATAAGTTTAATAGCAGCGGCATCACTAATCAGGGCCTGAATTCTGCTATTTTATGTTCACGCCAAGCCACTGTCATACCACTGACACGCTATTGAGATGCCATCGAGTGGCCATTGGCATCGGTATAAATATCGGTAGTCTACACTAACTCAGTGTCTTTACAGTGGCGATGGAATGGCTCATGAGTGCTGATATCAAAAAGATTGCCATATTTGGAAAAATAAATAAATTATTTCCTTATAATTTGAAAATATATTTTTTTTATTATTATTAGGGTATTATGGACGAGCAGCAAACTTGCTGATGTGTCCACATCACTGCACTGGAGTAAGTTTGTGATGTAAGAGTTCCCGTGTACA